TGTGTGTGTGTGTGTGTGTGTGTGCGTGTGTGTGCGTGTGTGTGTGTGTGTACTGCCTCTACCTAGAACGGATGCCCTTAGTGGTTCAGTTATGTATAGAGCCGTCAGACATTGGAATATGTTGTCTACAAAAATATCAAGCATACASAGTAATGTTAAATTTAGATATAATTTAAGAAGAGCAATTGCTTTAAATCAATGAATATTTATTAAGTGAAAACATTATGTTTTCCTGCTAATTATGCTTTGTGATTTTTTTTTAAGCTGGCTGTTTTGTTTTATGGTGTTTTAAATTGTTTTAATTTTCTTTTTGATTGATTTGTTTTAATGTGTTTGTGGACCCCAGGAAGAATAGTCTTCACTTAGGTGGAGACTAATGGGGATCCATTTTTAATTAACATTAACAAGCAATAAACAATATGACAATTAATAGAGGAAAATTGGACTTGCATGTTTTTGACTCTAAATCAGTCGCCCTGTGTTCTAAATTTATACAAACAAATCATCTGTGAAACTATGCCAGATCAYGGCGAGCTACAGTTTCAGCAGATCACCACCAAAATGTACTGATTTGTTCTTTGTAACGACCATTACATGCCTTGAAAATTAACTTCCTTTTATAACTTTTTGAGTACTGACAGATGAACAAAGTCAGACAGACAAACAAACCATTGCTACTGAAAATATAACCTGTTTGTTGTAGGTAACAATGTGAATATTTAATACTTTTGATGACAGATCGAGCCAAAGGAGAAAAAAAGAACTTGTGAGGCTGAACGTGGTTGTTAATCAATCCAAACATCACAAACRTTCCTGCTTGTTCCAAAGTGTTAGTAGCTTACTTGGGGTTCCTGGAACAGTTCTCCTTTCTGGGAGTTGATCTTTTTGAAGAGGTCTCCACCCTCACAGTAGTCCATCACAATATACAGACATCCCCGTTCTGAATGAAAACAAAGSTTTGCTAAATCATACATGATCTATTCAAGCAGCACTCTACGTAGCTTTGAACTGTGTAAATACCTTCAAAAGACTCCTTATACTGGACRATGTTGGGATGACTCATGTTGGCAAGAACAGCCACCTCTCTGCGAGATTCCTGCCTCTCTTTACTTGACATCTGTCCAAAGCAATAAACAGACCATGGGATCAGGATCAGAGGTAAAAGGAAGTTACAGTTAAACTCGTAAACGTGTAAAATGATGCAGAAGAGCTCACTCCAGATATGCCAATCTCCTTGATGACATACTGGCGTCCATCCTGTTTGGATTTCACAAGGATGGCCTTTCCAAACGAGCCTTCCCCGATTTTTGTAACCTTTTCGTACTTGTCCATGTCACTGGAGAGCCTTGCTTCGCATGCTGGGTCTGCAAATGGAGAGCATGTGACTGACCACCACAGGGTTCGTCCTACACTWACACAGCATTTTCATTCAATCAGACTTTTGCACGATCATCTTATGATACAACGAGGGTGTTTACACGGGGTTGTGATGCTGAGAGACACAACTACGGTGGGCTACATTTATCTGCTACTATTATCTGACGTAGCATGGGATGGTTGTCCATGATGGACAACCATCCCATGCTACGCCAGATAATAGTAACTAGTCAACGCACGAAACTRCAGAAAATAACGCACTTCGTTACTCGTAATTACATAAATATAAGGATTAATCAAACATTAGGCTTACCATTAGGTCTGTTCGCTGCTTTCTCGCAGAGATCTTGTTACTCTAGCCTCGCAAGTACTCAATCTAACAGCAATGATCACCCCCGTATTTCATTGGTCAGGTTCACAAGTCTCGACAGTCGATTGGTTGATTTGAGTGTATGTCAAGTTCCATAACGTGAGCCAGCCAACCCCTAAATGAGACTGTTGCTGTGGACATTTCCCTTGGCAACCACCAGGAAGGCAGCAGGAAACACGTGACCGCGTCACGTGACGTAACTTTATTCCGCTAATAACTTACATAGAGCAGATACAGTGTCTTGATGTCATCCCAGCAGGTTTAAAACTCCTCATATGCTGACAGATCTCATATTCAATATCCTCGATTTCCAGAATTATTTGGTGGGAACTTAGATCAATTCCTTAGTATTAAAACAAGAAATAAACACATCAGAGAAATAATACAAACTATTAGTAAAACTGCTTCTATATTTTATTGGAATGATCTGGATGTTGATGTGGATTGCCTAAAAAATTCTTTGTCTCGAATAAGGTTAGGGAAGTATCATTTAGAATTTTACACAGATGTTATCCTACAAACTCAGCTCTGGCTAATTATATTCCAAATATTGATCCTCTTTGTTCCTTTTGTCATCTTAAAAATGAAACATTAACCCATCTTTTCTGGGACTGCACAATTAGTAAAACCTTTTGGTGTGACCTTAATATGTTTTTTAACAGTAAATTTGATATTCCTGTTAAACTGAATGTAAAACATATTTTATTTGGTGTTTTTGATATTAGAATGTCTGAGATAAAATATGTCATGAAC